GAGGAGGAGCAGGAGGAGGAGGGGGAGGAGCAGGAGGAGGAGGGGGAGGAGGGGAAGGAGGAGGAAAAGGAGGAAGAGGAGGAGGAGGAACTGGACTTGGAATTGGGAGTATGCCTGTGTCATAAGTGGCAATCGAACCGACGGCAACAAAAGCCCAAAGTTGCATAAGTGTCATAACAGACAGGAACCTGGCCTTGGAACAAGGGCGACCGAAAATGCCGACGTCAGACATGTAATGCAAAAAGAGGCCGACCCCCATGACGAGCTGTTGCGTCGGGTGGCCTTACTCAAAACCTCTGGCCGGCGCCCGCGGGAGACCCTGGAGACAACTTCATGCCTGTTGGGGCGGGGGCACACGCATGGACGGCTGAGCCCATCCAACAAATGGAACCCGTGGCACCCCTGCCTCCCGCAAAGCCAGAACTCACGATCTCTATGCCACCGAATTCGATGAGTATTGTTGACCATTTTGGAATATGTTTCTTGCATGTTTTATTTTCGTCGAAAATCCCCATGTGGGGGGACACGCCCGACTTGAGAATAGCCCAGGTGAGAGCAATGCATGTATCCAGGGGCGCCCATGATCTCTGTCTTCGAGAAGGCCCCTGGACGAATGCGTGCAATGCCCCCCCCCCCCCCGCCATATGCAACTGGGTCTTGGAGGGTCCGTGGCAAATCGCTCCGATATAATTCAAAGGCTCGAAGGACGGGGACTGCCGCCAGACTGCGGCTCGCGCCTCGGTGGCCGAGCCCCCGCGCCACGCGCGCCGACGCGCTGTCTCGCCCAAGCAGTGGAGGGTGGAGAAGAGGGAGAGCGAATCAGCAGAGCGGGGGACAGGCGGAGCGGATGTGGACTTCGTTCCCTGAGGCTCAGTTCTGCTTTCCTTCTCGGCATCGCATGCGTCGAAGGTTGCGCCCCAAGTTGCCTGGTGGGTGTTGATGAAGTTGATGAAAGGGAGCACTCGCAGGCTCAGCATGACCCTCTTTCTGGCTGAGGAACTGGCCTAGCTGGGCGAATCCTGATCATCTCCCTGTGGGTGGTCAAAACGGCGACCGAACCGCCCCTTCACGACTGGCTCACAGTCTGATGCGATCTGCGGCGCGGAGTTCACCCCTCGCCACCGCTGGGCGAGGGTCGCGCAAAGGGCCTCGCAATGCGCCGGTGAGCTCGACTTCGGTGGGAAAGGTTGCTACTGCTGTCAGGCCAGCCGCTGGCGTCGCCGCTGATGATGAGGGGCGCGCTGCCGCGCCTTCCCCCGGCGCCTCAGAGCGACTTCATTGAGCACCTCTGGCGTCCAAGATTCGACCGAGGGAGAAGGGGGCGCCGGCGTTCAAGCCGACGGCGCCATGCCCTTAGGCCAAAAGCCCGCGCCCATGTCCATCTGCGCCAGCGCCTGCGGGAACACATCCTGCAACTCATCAGGTGCATCTTTGCCCGGCATGCGCGCGGCCAGATGCGATGTCGCGGCGTCTCGGGCCCCGCGCCGCAGCGCGGGCGCGGGGCGTTCCCGTCCAAGCGCGACAGCTCACCCTTGCGCCCCTGCGCTGGCCGCGCCCCGCCCGCGACGCCAGCCGGCGTGGCCTCGGAGACGCGGCCCCCGAATGCAGGCGCAGTTGCGAGCTGTGGGAGAAGAACGCGATGCGATGTACGATCCACTCCTTGTTCCAGCTCCGCGCCGCATAAGTGTAGGTTTGTACCGACCCGAAGATGGCGCCTTCGAGAGCTGCGGAAGTCGCCCAGAAAAGCAGCATGGGAATCGAGCGTCTTCTCGCCTGTCTACGCGGCGTCGTCGACGCGCCGGCCACCCCCCGCTGCGCGGCGCGGCGGCGGCGTCGCCCAGGCAGCGGGCTAATCCACTCCCCGGTCCGTCTGCGAAAGATGAGGAACAACTGCAGAGAGAGGCCCGTGCGCGCGCCAAGAGCCCCGCTCCTGCGGCGCATCGCGCAGGCGTCGAACAAACTGTTGCCGAGCCTGTCGGGCTCTAGGCTCGAGACAGGGCCGATCTGTCCAGGTGGGTCGCTGGTCGAGGCGGGCCGTCGGCAGCTGGGTGGCGGGGTCTGCGTCGCCAGCGACATGCAAGCAAACTGTTCCGACGCCGCCCGCGCGCAGGAACGATGGGAAACCCGCGCGCCCCTGCGTCGCCGCCATCTTACTGTCGGAGGGATAGTGCACCTGATGCCCATGCACTCCAGCAGATTGCGCGCCTCGGCGCTCGAGGCGCCCGCGCGCCCAATTGTCTATAGCAGCGTGTGCGAAGCGGCGCGCCTCGGCATTCGCGCGCGCGTGCTTGGCCTCGCGAGCCGCTCTGGTACCTCGTGCCTGTCTGTCCCCGCCAGCTATGTCCATCCCGAGACAGGCTGCTTTGAAGTTTTGGGCGGATCGTAGAATCAACCATTGAACCTTCATAGCGACCCACTTGGCGTCCTGACTGCTGCAGTGCCTGAGGTCAGGCGCCCGCCCCAATAAAGCCTTGGTCCACTACGTGCTGGCGACCATCGCAGCGGCGCGCCCGCGCCAGAGCCATCGGATTGGACCGACGGTCTATCCCAGAGCGTTTCAGGGCCGAGGTCAGCAGTTCGACGGCAGCTAGCATAGCGCACCATCGACACATGCATTGAACTACGCAACCGGAAATTGAGCGTCTCGCCCAGATCAGAACTCAGGGTCGGCCCCGCCATTGAAAGGGGGATCACCTGGCTTGAGGCCCTCCGTAATCATCCCGCGGATGACGATGTCGCTGTAATCGCTGGGGTGGATGCTGCCGACCAAGTCGGCCAGAACCCCGGCCACGCTGGAGTAGAAGCGCAAACCGTGCTTCGCCCGTGGAGCCTCGTCCACCTCAAGCACGAGCCGGAGCCAGTTCGACCTCTTCGAGCTGGTGGCGCCCGCAAAAGCTGCATCCGGCACACCCTCGAGATCGGCAGCGATCTCTGCGTCAGTGAAAGGCACCTGGGCCATGCCTCTGGACAGCACGGTGGAAGACTGCAGACTGGCGAGCTGGCCGAATGGAAACAAACAGCTCAAACCGCCGAGGCTACGGACAACACCGGCTGCACCGACGCAGAACGTGGAACGAGAGCGGGCGAATCCAGCAAAACATGCGCGACGAGAGCCCCCCCGCGCAAAAACAGGCCCTGAAGGGGCAGGGCCCGCCCAGCGCCAGCATGGGCGCTCCCGCGAGAACCCAGCGCAACCAAAGGTTATTGTGGCCACCGGGCCCCAGGGCGAGTGAGCGACCACCCAGCCGCACTGCAGCTGTCACAGCTGCCCCTGGTAAGCAAACGGCGCCCCTGTGAGACCCAGCGTCATCAAGGGTTCTGGGCTACAACAGCCGCGCGGCGTTCGCAAGGTGTGGAAAGGTGAGCGAGGGTACCTGGCTACCACAGCACCCCAGCTGCAAAGCCGCCCAGCGCTAGCACAGGCGCCCCAGTGCAAGCAACTCAGCGCCAGCAAGTGCTGTTGGTCGTGAAGCCGCCCAGCGGTAGCACGGGCGCACCAGGAGAACCCAGCGTTCGCGAGGGTTCACCTGGCACCTGGCCACGTACCCAGACGCACTCCGAGCGGCCTCGCGCCGCCGGCACACGCACGAAGGCGCGCCAATCAACCAACCAACCAACCAGGACGAGGGAGGAAGGAACGCGGCATGGCATCCCCACGCCGACTTCCACAGGCCACAACGCAGCCCAAGGCGCAGAGCACAGAAGGCACCCGACAGAGACCAACAGGGCGCCAGGGAGGCCCCGCAGAGACTCCAACGGGACCCCCACTCGGATCCGCAGCCCCGCTTTGGGAGCGCCAAGGGCGTGACAAAAAAAGCAAGAAGGCCAGTAGGCAATGAGGCAACAAGTGTCAAAATGCACCACATCCCTGCTCCTCAAATTTCCCTGCCCCCCAAATTGCTTCGCAATCTAGGGGCGACGAAATGCAACGGCATCAACAGTCGGACTTGACTGGACAGGACACGAGAGATGTCTCACGACCCTTCCGAGGGCCACATTGCCACACGAATGTAGGAGGCATGGGTCGCGAGACACAGGACAGAAGGGTACCCTTGATTTGGCAGGGTCGACCTGTTAATCAGGGCCGAATCGGCCACATGCAAGAGTTACCCTAGGCAAAAGTGTCCTTTTGTGCGCGACTTTCGGGGGCTGCGGGGAGGTCGAACCCGATCGCCCAGAGCGCTGCTGCCGCATCGCGTTCCGTCATCTGGGGTCCCCAGTGTGCCCGCGCCCGAAGGTCACTCCGGCGCAAGGACACTCTTATGTGTAGCCGAGCTAAACCCCGCGAGTTGGGCGCAAAGCAATGCGGTGGCGATAAATAAATGAGAGGGTGGAAGAAAAGTGCCCTTTCCGGGCGGTAAGTGACCCCTTCTGGGCGCGAGAGGGCCCTTTGTGGTACCCCGAGATAACCCTTGTCTGCTCCACCCACATTTATCGCACCCCCATGCCTAGAGGCCTCCCAGATGGGGTTCGAGTCGATGGGGTCGGAGGATCGCGCCGCATCGTCAATGCATCGGTGATGCATCGGCGATGCATCGCCGACGTCGGCGACGCGTCGGCGGCGGCGGCGCGGAGAAAATCGGGCTCCGCATCGAGCCGCATTGGCGATGCATCGGCGATGCGGCACGATCCTCAGACCCCGCCTGCTCCGACCCCATCGAAGAGGCCCAGGATGTCTCTAGACGAGCGCGTTCCACTACACCCGCAGAGTAGCTACTCGCAAATGGCCTGGATCCACCGTGCGGGATCTACGACAAAGCACATCGAGGAAGACATTTTTGTTTCTGACGCGCTGCGAGTAGGCACTCTGCGAGTCGTGGAACGCGCTCGAGGATTGACGCCCCCCGCGCACGCGGCCTCCAGGCGAGCCTCGAGCCCTCCCCGCCGGGCGGGCACGACGGCGGGGCCCCCCCGAAAAGCACGGCGCGCCGCGGGACGCCCCCGAGGGGCCTCCGCGCGGCGAGCCCGCCGCCGCGGCGGGGAGCCGCGGCTGCCGCGGCTCACTGCTGCGGGCCCTTCTCGCCCTTCCACTTCCTCCGCGGGCCGCGCGGATCAGACGGGCTCATCCTCGCCCCCGTCGCTCCACCTCATCCTCCTCCTCCTCCTCCTCCTCCGCCTCGTCCTCGTCCTCGTCCTCCTCCTCCTCGTCCTCGCCCTCCTCCTCCTCGCCCTCCTCCTCCTCCTCCCCTCCTCCTCCCTCCTCCTCCCTCCTCCTCCTCCTCCTCCTCTCCTCCTCCTCCTCCTTCTCTCCTTCCTCCTCCTCCTCCTCCTCCTCCCTCCTCCTCCTCCTCTCCCCTCCTCCTCCTCCTCCCCCTCCTACTTCTCCTCCTCCTCCCCCTCCTCCTCCCCCTCCTCCTCCTCCCCCTCCTGCTCCTGCTCTCCCTCCTCCTCCTCCTCCTCCTCCTCCTCCTCCTCCTCCTCGCCCACTCGCCCATCCTCGCCTCTCCACCTCCTCCGCGGGGCCGCGCGGGGCGGACGGGTTCCTCCCTCGCCGCTCCTCCTCGCCTCCGACTTGGGCGCGGATTTCGTGCGGGGGGGTGGTGAACGTGGGCGGCGAGCGAGGGGGGGAAGCGAGAAGGAGAAGGCCCTCTCAGGAGGCGGCGGGACTTCTCAGAAGTCCTCGCGCCGTCTGCGAAGGCTTTGGTGCCTTCGGGGAGGGCGCAGAAAACTCTTCAGCGGGCCTCGGCACCTCCCAACCTTCTGAGAAGGCCCCCTCCTTCCCAATTACCCCCCCTCGCTCGCCGCCGAGAGTAGGGGGGAGGGGGGTGAGAAAGGTGCCCTTTTGGGGACCCGAAGGGCCCCTCCTGGGCCCTCAGGGGCCCCTTTGGGGCCCCTTTGGGGCCCTTTTCTGCAGCCCTCGCTGCCCGCCCCATTTATCGCCCCCCCCCCCACACGCGTCCCCCAACAGACGGTCTGACCTTTTCGCCGGGCGGTTTGCCCTCGATGTCGGCCCTCCGGGGCCCCTTCCGGGCCCCGGGCCGTCTGCCGCGAGGAGCGGCGTGTGCAGTGTGGCTCCGGTGGCCAATGCCGAGAACAGGTCGTGGCCGACCCAGCTTTGGCCAGTGCAGGCTCCCACGAGGGGCACAACACGCCAACACTCCACGGTGCCCTCCTCCGCATTTTCCTCACCGTCGTCCTGCTCCTCCTCCTGCTCTTCCGCCCTCTTCCTCCTCCTTCGCCGCCCCTCCTCCTCCTCCTCCTCCTCCTCCTCCTCCTCCTCCTCCGCCTCCGCCATTTCCTCCGGCCTCCCTGGAGGATGGCAGCACAACGAAGACACCGGACGGAGAGCGGGCACGCTTTGGCAGCGGCCGCCCAGAGGCGCAATTCTGCCATCGGAGCTGCCCACGTCAGGACGTCAAGGGCTCTGCGGGCTCCACCAGGCACAACAGAAGCTCAGTCGGCTTGCGCTTCAGCGGTGCCCCGCCCCCGTTCCCGCCATGCGCCCCAGTAGTGTCAAGAGTTCCAGGGGGTCCCCGCTAGATTGCGGCAGTGTGAGGGGGAGTGGGTGGGAGTGTGTCCGCAACAGTTGTCCTTTTCTTCCTTGCTGTTTCCTCCCCCTGCCTTCCCCTGCCCTTCCATGCATGCATATCAGTGTCACGAGCATCCTGTGCGTATAGAGTCTCCATGGAGGGAGAGGCGTGCCATTCCATTCGCGTAGCTGGGAAGGGGAGCATGATACTGGTGGTTCTCCAGGCTGCGGAGGGCACGAACCCTGATGAAACAGTCTCCGCATAGCCCGCGACGTCCAGCACGGTCTCCCTGGAAGGGAACGTGGCACTGAAAAGGCTGAGTGGGGTGGGAAGGGCACGAGCCCTGATTCACGACTAGGTTTGCGCATAGCTCGCGCGGGCCGACCCTCTTCTCTGGGAGGGGAAGCAACATCCCTGGAGGGAGAAACGTAATATTAGGAAGGCTGGAGAGGTGGGGAGGGTACGAGTTCTTATTATCCCAGTGCGACCCTACCTAGGAGTTGAAGCATTCAAGAAAGCAACATCTACATATACACCGACAGCTACATTTACATCTACACCTGCATCTACATCTACATCAACATCAACAGCGAGACTAACATCTACATATACATACACACCTACATCTACACCTACAACTACATCTACAGATATGCTGCGCTATGTTATGTTATGCTATGCTATGCTGCGCCATGCCATGCTATGCTATGGTATGCTGCGCTGTGCTATGTTATGCTATGCTGCGCTGTGCTATGCTAAGCAATGAAATGCTATGACATGTTATGCGGCGTTATGTTTTGTTATGCTATGTTATGCTATGCTATGTCATGCTATGCTATGCTTGGCTATGCCATGCTATGCTTGGCTATGCTATGCTATGCTATGCTGTGCTAATGCTGCGCTGCGCTATGCTGCGCTGAGCTGCGCTAAGGTAAGGTAAGCTAAGCTAAGTTAAGCTAAGCTACGCTAGGCTAGGTTCGGCTAAGCCAAGCTAAGCTAAGCCAAACTAAGCTAAGCTAAGCTAAGCTAATATGATACCAGCTAAGCTGAGCTAAGCTAAGATGAGATCAACTAATCTAAGCTAAGCTAAGCTAAGCTAAGCTTAAGCTAAGCTTAAGCTTACGGGGAACCGCGGGGCGGATCCTGGGGGAACCGCGGGGCGGATGCCGGGGGAACCGCCCGGGGCGAGCCCCACTGCCTGGACCTTTAAGCTTATAAAGTAAGAACCCTTCTAGGCAGAGCCTAGGTAGGGAATAAAGAAAATGGTTTGCGCATGGCCCGCCAGGTCTGGCGGCACGGCCTCCCTGGACGGAGGGGAAACCGCCTCCCGGGAGGGGGGAAACCTACACATCGTATTGGGAAGGCTGGAGAGGTGGGAAGGGCGCGAGCCCTCAGAAATAGCACCGTGTTGCGCCTAGCCTGCTCGGTTCGACACGGCCGCACTGCAGTGGGGGAAAAAGCCTCCCAAGAGGGGGGACCGCGGTACTGGGAAGGCAGCAGAGGCTTGGAGGCCCCCAGGAGGGGTAGCCGCAGTTTTGGGAAGGATGGAGAGGTGGGGAGGGCTCGAACCTCGAACCCTGATAAAATCGCACGAGCCCTTTAGGAAGAGTGGTTTTGAGCGTCTCCTCTTTCAACCTCCTCATTCCCCTTCAGGGAGGGATTTAATGGCTGTTCGCACCTCGCCCCCGCGTTGCGCACAATGTGTTGGGAGGGCGGGTGAGAGTGAGCGAGATGGCTTGTGAGCGGGGAGGGTGCCTTTACAAACACCCCACCCCCTCCCCCCAGGCGACCGGATGCCAACCGGAAACATTGACCCCCCCCAGCCATCCCTGTCAAAACAGCAATACACACATTGTGATCCCCACGCGAGCACTCTGCACTGCTTTTCGGGAGGGGCGGCAGGCAGGTTGTCTTAGTGCCTGCCATGCGAACGGCCATCACCCCCGTCAATAAACGATACAGCATACACTTCGCGGCTAAATCTGGATCATGCGCGGCCACCCCGTGGTTTTTGACAAGGACGGCAAGGGTGCTGGCATGTTGCCTGCTGTTCGCAGGCCCACCAGACATCCTGGTGGCCTCCCTGCCGCACTTGCGCCTCGGCTTCGGAGAAGGACGAGGGGGGCCGACACGCTTCCCGAGGTGTGCTGTCACCTGCGCGGGCGCACCTGGCGCGGCCGAGCCATGCGGCACACTTGGCGCACGTGGAGCATCTGGCGCGCCAGGCGTGCCTGGCACGCTTTGGGCTCCCGGGCGGCCTGGCGCACCTGGCGCGCCACGGGGTCTGCTTTGGATTCAAGTAGCAATCCGCCCATGGACGACCGCTGAACTTGCGGAGGCTCGGGTGCTACTTCCGCGTCGGGGGGGCGGGTGGCAGTGAGCGAGACAGTTTGCGGGCGGGATGTCTCGACCCCGCCCCCTGCCCTCTCCCCCTGGACCACCTCCTCCTCCTCCTCCTCCCTCTCCTCCTCCTCTTCCTCATCCGCCTATTCCTCATCCTTCCTCCTGCCTCCTCCCACTCCCCCTCTACTCCCTCCTGCTCCTTCTCCGATCCCTCCTCCACCCTCCCCCTCTTGGGGTATGGCGCCTTACCCTGCCCTTTATTCCACTGTATGCTCCTCCACATCCCTGGTCAAGGCAGCTCGTCTGGGTATCGTGTCTGCATGGGCTGGCGGTATTGCGCGAAGCGTCTAGAAGAATACGATTTGGGGGCACAGCCCGCTCGGTCCGACAAGGCTTCCCTGGAGAGGGGCACAGCCTCCACGTGTTGGGTATTTGGAAGGCTGGCGAGGTGGGGAGGGCACGAACCACACCTGATAGATAGCTCGGTATCCGAAGGTGGAGAGTGAAGGATTAGACGCTGGTGGAGGTCGGTATCGCGCGCAGATGAGGACGAGGAGGAGGGAGGAGGAAAGGAGGGAATGAGTAGATGCGCTGGGAAGGCAAAGGCCCCACTCGGGATGTGGGGAACTCAGGCGCCATACCCATCTCCTGAATCCGCCGAGTAGCTCGAGGCCTCTTTCCTTCCAGCGTCCTGCTCCTTCTACTCCTGCTCCTCCGCCTCAGTCCTCATCGTCCTGCCCCTCCTCGCACTCCAACGACTCTGCTTGCAGATTTAATCATTCCAACGCTGAGACCCATGACTTACACATGCAACACAAATACGCTGATCATGGAATGCCGTTGATCGCAAGGAAGAGGAAGATTACGAGGATGAGGATGACGACGAGCGGGCGGGGATAGGCTACTCACAACCCCAGCACACGGTGTGGCTCCCAACACGCACGAGCCGACCCCCCCCAATGTTGCCGCACAGGACATGGCGTGACGGGCGTTGGAAGCAGGGTTACGTCGGGGGAGAGGGTGGGGGAAGAGAGGGGGAAGCGGAGGGGGAGGAGGAGAAACAGGAGGTAGCGAACGAGGAGGAGGAGGAGGAGGAGGAGGAGGAGGAGGAGGAGGAGGAGGAGGAGGAGAGGAGAGGAGGAGGAGGAGGAGGGGAGGCCCCCCCCCGCCCGCAAGAACGCTCCAACGTCGGGAGGACGTGTGCACAGAGAGGCCCGGCGGCCGCGCGGGGCCGAGGCGGCCGGGCGCCTCTCCAGGTAGAGGCCCGCAGCGACCCCGGCGACGCCGCCGTAGGCGCCCCCGAGGAGTGTCCCGCACACGGCGCCTGCCGCCCCCGTCTGCTCCGCGCCGGGGCCGTCGCCGCCGCCGCCGCCGCCGCCGCCGCCGTTTCGCCGTCGCCGTCGCCGCCGCCGTCTCGCCGTCGCCGCCGCCGTCGCCGTTGCCGTCGCCGTCGCCGTCGCTGGCGCCGCCGCCGCCGCCGCCGTCGCCGTCGTCGTCACTGTCGCGGGGGGAGGGCAGAAACCTCCTGAGGGGGGGGCTGGGGCCCGGGGCCCTCGAGGGCACGCACGTTGAGCCCCCCGCTCCCCCGCAGAGGGAGCGCGCGTCTGCGGGCGCTCGGCCAGGACATGACCGAGTGGGGGGACCGAACGGTCTCACATCATCCATGGGTGCGTGCCTGAAGTCGGCTTCCGTGCCGAAGATGTTTGTTGTTGTTGCTGTTGCTCCTTGCTGTCTGTTATTACCGTCGACCTCGCCCGCGACACGCCGGCGACCCGCCCGTGACTCGCCCCGACCCATCCGCGACTCAGACGCAGACTACCCGCGACCCATCCGCTTTGCCTTGACGAAAATTCGGCGCCTGTGGCGGGCACGGTGTGAAGTGTGAAAGAGCGGCGCCTTCGGCGGACTCCTTCAAAGCCTTGCACGCCGTCGACGACCCCGCTGTCCCCTCACTCTCATCCGAGGAGCGAGGAGCGAGGAGCGAGGAGGAAGCGGAGGAGGAGGAGGAGGAGGAGGAGGAGGAGGAGGAGGATGAGGATGAGGATGAGGAGGAGGAGGAGGAGGAGGAGGAGGAGGAGGAGGGATCCTTCGAAGTCGGGCCGCCCCCCCCCCCCCTTAGCACCTTCCCCTTCCCGACGGATGAACGAATCCCCCCGCGAAGCCAGTGAGGTGCCCCCCCCCCCAGCCAGCGACTCCGTAGACGTTGACAGGCAGAGGTGAGCGCTTCATGTTGTCCTGGGCGCCGGCGGGACGCGACGAAGAGAACCAGTGCGAGGAGGAGCAGGAGAGCTGAGGAGCAGGAAAGCGAAGGCGGAAGAGAACTTAGGAGGAGGACCAATGCAAAACCAAGAAGTGTCAACGGTGTTACAATAAACCCTCCTTCCTGCTTTCTTCTTCGTACGTCCAATGTATCTTCATGGCGCGAAGTGCCACATTGAAAGACGATCGTCTGATAATCCTCGATCGTGCCAAAAACACCATTCCTGGGATCTCAACGCCGCTCATCAATGTGAGTGTTGCGCCCTGACAAATCTAAAGTGTGCCGCCACACTATTCCCGGGACCTCATAACCACGGGCCAGCTCACACTGCTGCAAACTTATCCAACCAATACCGCTGCTTGAAAACCGCCTCCATCTGTAAAGCTGCTGCAAGCTTTGAAGACGAAAATGCACGGCACCAAGGCAAAAACTTCATCTTGGCATCTTGAACAGACCCGCCCTCGATCATTGAAACTACACTAGACTTAGAGACGACTGTGCGCCGCGTTGAACAGATAACGCCATGTTGAAAAAAGGGAGCTACGCTCCATCCTAAAAACTATAGCAAACAAATAAAACGAACGTGCCCGGCGTAGGGGGCGACAACCGCATTTTGAAAACAATCGGCCCTCCACCCTTGAAGCTCTTACAGACTTTGCGAACAAATGCGCGGCGCGCTTTGAGCAAAAACCGCATTTTGAAAACGACCCGCCCTGGATCTTTGAAGCTGTCGCGAATTTCGAATTTCAGGATCACTCGCTATGAAAGCGTATCAGGCGAAACGCTTGGACCGCCCTACCGACACGACTGGGGGTGCGACGGAGAAGAGTTATTTACCAGGAGAATGGAATGAGGACAACGAGAAGGACTGGTGCAAACCCACGGCCCGTCAACGATTTCGCAATACGCCCTACCTTCAAATTCCCTCGTATTATGTTCCTACAACAATGAATTTTCCACACCGGGGCAAGCCCCGTTGAAAACAAGTGTATGGAAATCCTCAAACGCGCGCGAAAACAATTCTGGAACTTCAGCGCCGCGAGTAAACGCTACTCTTGCGTCGTGACGATTTTGTAACGCGCCAGACCACCATTCTGTGGGCACGCAGCGAATCAACGTGACTGTTGCGCCGTGGCGCTTCTGAACCGAACCAGAACACCCTAATAATAATTACACCAAAGAAAAACCCCAATCAATGGATGGTTTTCGCTGAGGAGATCGACGGGGGACCCGGGAGCCCGGGAACCCAGAACCCACCGAAATCGGCCCAAAACCAATACACGGGGACTCCCGGGAACCCGGAACCCGGAACCCGGGAACCCACCCTGCCACCAAAATCGGCGGGAAACTTTCGCCAAATCTTGTATATTCCGCTAAGACCCCTTCAGTGCAAGCACTGATTGGGGAATCGTCCCTAACCGTTTTCTGGAAAGTAAGATTCTCACAAGCCGCGTCCTTCTCCATTCGGAAATTCGGGGGTTCGTTTGCCTTCCTGTTGCTCCGCTCCCCTGTTTGCTGCCCAGGTCCGAGGCTCCAGTGGGGGCTGTGCGGCTCCTGTGCTGGTCGGCGGCCTCGCAGGGTCGCCGCCTGGTTGGGCGCCCTCGCCAGCCGCTGGCGCGGGTCGCCCTGTGGCCGTGGCCGCCGGCGGTGCCGGATTTCCCACCCGCCCTCCCTTGGCTGTTCCGTGCGCTGGCCGGGTGGGGTGGGTCTCGAGGGTCCTTGGGGTCTCCCGGGCTTCCCCGTCCAGCCGCGCTTGGTGTTTCGCCCAACGGTCCTTGCGGGCGCACGGGCTACTCATGGGACAGCGGCAAAGAATATTCTTTGACTCTTTTTTTTCGTTTTTAAGACGATTGCGCGCGGTCCTAGCGCAAAAAAAAACATTTTGGAAAAGAGCCGCCCTCCATCCGTGAAGTTTCTGCACATGTTTAGAACGGAGGGAGCGTGATCCACCGCCGCTGTACTATGGAAAATTGCCAACCTTTTCCTCCGGAGCCCGGGGGTCGCCCCCCCCCCCCCTCTCCGAAAATCCCCCCCCCCTGCTGGACCCCCCCCCCCCCGGCAAAACCCCCCCTCTCCCCTAACCCCTCCCCCCCCCCCCCCCCCCCTCCCCCTCGAAAACCGGGGGGGGGTCACTACCGGTTCGAACCCCTCCCTCCCCCCCCCCCTCCGGATCCAGAAAACCGGGGGGGGTCACTACCGGTTCGAACCCCCCCCCCCCTCGAAAACCGGAGGGGGATCACTACCGGTCGAATCCCCCCACCCCCCCCACTCACCGCCAGCAAACGACTCCTGGTCCCTACCACCGTCCGCATCACATCCCCCACTGTTGTTCCCAGCGCCACTGTCCTCACCACCACTGTCCCCGCTGTGTCCCGACCAGTGCCCCCACCACTGTCGCACTGTCCCCACTGTCCCCGCCACTGTTCCCACCACGGTTCCACTCTCCCCACTGTCTCCACGGCCCCAACCACTGCCCGACTATCCCCACTGGCCCCACTGTGCCACTGACTCCGCCGCTGTCCCACTGAGCTGTCCCACTGTTCCCACCACGTCCCCACTGTCCCCACCACTGTCCCCACTGTACCTCTGTCCCATTGACCCACCGCCGTCCTCGCCACCGCCTGCACCACTGTCCCCACCACCATTGTACCCTCCACTGTCCCACTGTTTCCACCTCATCCCCACTGTGCCCACACCACTGTCCCCACCACCACCGTCCCTACCACTGTCCACTGTCCCCCCTGTTCCCACCATTGTCCCCGCCACTGTCCCCACCACTACCGGCCCTCTATTGTCCCACTGTCCCACTGTCCCCACCACGTCCCCTCGCCACTGTCCCCACCAACACCGTCCCCACCACTGTCCGCACCCTCACTCGGTTTTCGAGGGGGGGGGGGGGGGTTCGAACCGGCAGTGACCCCCCCCCCTTTTCATGATGAGCTGGGGGGGAGGGGGAGGGGTTCGAACCGGTAGTGACCCCCACCGGTTTTCCGGAAGGGGGGGGGGGAGGGGTTCGAACCGGTAGTGACCCCCCCCGGTTTTCCGCCAGCAGCGGTAGAACACGCTCTTTCTTAGAACGAGTGCGCGCGGTGTACAAACACGAAACATATTTTGAAAACGGCCCGCCTTCCTCCGTAAAGCTCCTCGGGCTCCTCGGAATCGAATGCGCTCGCTGCTAAGGCGAGGGCTGCAATTTGAGAGCCGTCCGTCCTGCGTCCGTGAAACGATTGCAAACTTTTGAGCGAATGTGCGCGACGGGAAAGCAATAAACACATGTTGAGAACCACCCGCCATCCATCCGCGAAGCCGTTGCCATATATGTCAGCTGCACTTGCGGCCACCTGCACCCGAGCGTGCCCGCGGGGTGCGACGCCCCCCGCGCCGCCCAGCCTGGCGGCGCAAGTCCGAGCCGACGCGCAGGGCGCCAGGGGTGCAAGAGCTCCCAGGAGCGGAAGGGCGAAAACACGCGCGCCGTCCGCGATAATAGGACGGTAGCGCCGAAACCTGCACGATGCAAGCGGCAATGCCTTCAACCCGTGCGACCCTGAAGCGCACCGCGATCAGCACCGACGGGATCCCCGCGACGTGCCAGCACGAGCGTGCACCGCGATGCAAGCAAACGACCAAACCGCGAAAGCGCGCGCGCGCCGAGCGCCTTCGCCCTGCGCGCGAGCCCTTCCCGCGGTGCCGCGCACAGCGAAACGCGCGCCGTCGCCCCGCGCGCGCGAGCCCTGCTCGCGGGGCCGCGCGCAGCAATCCGCGTGCCGTCGCCCCGTGCACGCGCAAGCCCTTCTCGCGGGGCCGCGCGCCGCGATGAGCTCGCAGGGCGCCTCGCGAGCGCGAGCCCTTCACGTGGGGCTGCGCGTCTCGAAATGCGAGAGAACGGGATGCGGCAGGCGACCGCAAATCGCCCGCCCGCGCGCGGGCCAGGCGCGGGCGCGAAATTTGTGCCCGCGCGCAGCGCAGCCCAAGCGCGCGCGCGCGCTTTCGCTGGCGTTGCGCGCCCGCCGCAAAAAAAATTAGCTGCGCCAGCAGCCTCCCGCGGCCGAAGGGGCCCGCGCTCTTTTTGACAAGGGGCGCCCTTCGCCGCCCAGCCTGGCGGTGCCAGTCTGAACCGACGCGCGGGGCACCAGTCGGGTCGGGCGAAAAGGGGGATAGCAAAGGGGGGGTTTGAGAATCAGGTCGCGTAGCTGATTTTCCCGGCGCCTCCCCGCGCCGGAGGCGGCTATGTATCGAGGAATGGGCTCCTCGGTGAGGCCGAAACCAGCTGCATGCAGCAAATTTTGTACCCCCCCCTTTCCCCATCCCCCGTTTCGTCCGGCCCGAACCAGGGATGCAAGGGCCCCTGGCCGAAACACGCTGGTGTGCCGCGCGGCGGCGACGTGCACGGCGCGCGCAAAAACAGGCGATGCGCGCGTCGGCGCCGCGATGCCGCAACGCGCAACGGCGGGGAAGAATCGCGCTGAGGGCAGCGTGCGACGCCTGGCTCGCCAGCGCCTCGCCCAGGTCGTCGTCAGATTCGGTCAGATGCTCTTCGACCACGGCGCCGAGCCATTCTTTGCCGAAGTGTCACACGAACGCGGGCGAAGACCAGTCGCCCGCTGGAAGGCTCGCGCGCATGACGCCCCGCCCCCTTCTGCTGAAGGCCCAGTGCGCGGTCGCGCGGCAGGTCATGGGTGCGATGGAGGATGCCCGAGGCGACCCCGGCGGCGGGCCCGGCTACGGCGCCTGGGCCCAGGGGGTTGGAGAGTGTGGGGGTCCATCATGCTGGGCGCCGGCGCCCACCCCAACCCCACTGGCTGGAGGCAGGGCATCGCCCAGGGCATCGCAACCTTGGCTGTCATTTGAGGGGTATCTTCTATAGGGAGGTACACGCACAACGCTGGCATGGACTTTAAAGCGCCTAAAAATATTTCGGCGCTGGAGCCGAGTGGAGGGGGAACCGATAGAAATGCGCCCTCGGCGGGGCATGGAT